TGGCCCCGAGGAGGTGTCCGGGGTGGGGCACAAAACCCCATTTTTTGGGTTTAGCCCACAGGGTGTGCGCTGTCGCTGCGCACCCCCCACTTCTTATTCTTTTGGATTTTTTTTTTTTTTTTCTTGGGGGGGGATGTAGGTCCGGAGGCGGGGGCAGGGGTGCCCATCCCCAGATCCCCGCACCCCCGCCGGGGCCCCAGGGCCAGGGCTCGACAGCCCTGGGACTGCTTACTTGGACTGCATATTCTCTACTCCTGACTTGTTCTGATTTCGACTGGGAAACAGCACAGGAGGGGAGAAAGGTGGAAATGGCTAATTGTACTGGCTGCTATGGCTAACTGTACTGGCTGCTGCAACCTCTGCGAACAACTTAAGAAAATATGGGATACTTGTACAAACGTTGTCAGAGTTCACAAGTATTCAGTATTTTACTATTTTCTGCCAAAACCTGGGTCCTAGGTTCCCGCCAAGTCCTTGTCGGTATGACACGGTTCACAAGGGAGTATGCCCATAGCCTGGATGAAACCGATTGATGATATGTTGGTTGATGTCACCTCTGTCATGTCTACCATCCCTATTGCCACTGTCATGCGCATCTCGCATCCATTCCACTGTGCCCTGATCTCAGACTTTGTTCTTCTTCCTCCCTATCTTTCTCAACCCTTCCCCAATCTCCGGGCTGTATAATCTAAATGTCTGTTCCTGCCACCCAATTGTGACCAGAATTAGAGCATCATGGCTTCCTGCATGTCATAGACTTAGAAACTTCTGACAAAGCTGTGGGATTGTTTTTTAATACAGGTTCGGCTAGCCCAAGTACTTTTTTTCCAGCTGCACACACACTGCCAATTTTTCTTATAGACTGTCAGTCACCCACACCAGATGGAAGACTCTACAGACTGTCGGTTCACACCCCATCACAAGATTTCAAAACACCGACGAAACAAAGAAAGGCCTATCACAGCCAAAAAATACACTCCAGACACACCGCTGGCACTAGAGGCACAGCATGGCCGTGTGGTGACGGCCCCGACCACAGACACTCAAAACCGGGTCCAGCTTCTATCTGGTAAATCTTCTACTTGTCATGTGGGTGAAAGAGAGAGAAATAGGTGTTCCTGGCCACTGGCCAGCATTTCCCTCCCCTTTCTCATTTGGTAAAAACAGCAGAAAGAATCTCATACCGTAAACCGAAGAATGCATGCAGCTGGAATAACATGAACCTACATAACACGTATGTGAATACCTCAGGCGTATGGATTTTCACTGAGGGAGGAAGTCCCGCATACGATGGCACGAGTGGACAACGCGCTGTCGAAACCACAATCAGCTGACGCCAAGGACACATCTTGGAGATCAGACACCAGGACAAGACAGCATGCACCATCACCGCTGTGTGTGTTGTCATGTTCGCTTACCAGTATGTCTGTGTGTGTGTGAGAGAGAGAGGAGGGGGCGGGGAGAGAGAGAGAGAGGAGGGGGCTGGAGAGAGCGAGAGAGAGAGAGAGAGAGAGAGAGAGAGAGAGAGAGAGAGAGAGAGAGAGAGAGAGAGAGAGAGAGAGAGAGTTGCTCAAGAAAATTCAGAATTTGTTTTTTTTCTTTCCACAAAAAGATCTATGAATTTTGAAACATAAACCTCTAAACCTCTAAATTTACAAGTTCCTAAACTCATGAACTCTTCAGGCTCTAAGCTAGCAAGGTCCTGAACTCATTCTTTGCCTCCTTGCAAGCAGCAAGACCATATTGCATTTGCAGTATCATAGGACCTGAAATTTCACCTCTGCATGAGGAGCAGCACATTTCATCCTCCAGCCTTCTGGGGGCTGGAGGATGAAACCATTTTATCGTACAAAAGGCTCCGACTTTCAAAGCCTGTGAAGGTCAGAGTTTCTGAACTTGAAAAATAGTTGCAGAATCCCAACTTCAGAAGATACGAGGAATCGCTGAAATGGTTTCATCTCTGAAGTTTCAGCTTGATCTTTGACAAACGTATCAGTTCTTCGACCTGCTTTATAACACGAACCTTTCTTCTTCGTGCAACGGGCATGCAACGGATCTCATCTCTATAGTTTCAGCTCAATAGCCAACCGTCTAAGTTCTTTTACTTGGTTGATGATACGCAGCCTTTCCTCTTGCTGCAACCGGAAGGCAACGGACCTTCCATCCATGCCAAGCTCGCCGAGTGCAACAGGATCAACTGCTCCAGCAGTCTCCGCCAACAAGTTGTCAATCTCCTGAAGGAAGTCAAAGCGCAAGATGCTATTATCATCTTCAGGGATTTCCACTCTACCATCCTGCAGAGCACAACACAGAAATACCATTAGTTGGGACTGTCTATGCCACCACCACCTCCCCCCTTCCCCCCCCTCACTCCTCTCTCTCTCTCTCTCTCTCTCTCTCTCTCTCTCTCTCTCTCTCTCTCTCT